CGTCGGTCCAATTGCTGATTTTTTTTTATCGACATGAAAAGTTTGCCGGAGCCATAGTAGGTACATAACTCTGTATCAGTTGAGTGTATTCTTGACGTTATTTTATTTGTGTATATGTGCGACTTCCAAGGCTTTTGTTATTATTATCATCATCGTCGCTGTTATATATCTCGTCATAGGTGGAGACCATGTAGGTAGGCTTTACGAGAGATTAGCCCTATCAAATAATTCTGCCGAGCACACCAAATAAATTCATGTTTCAAGAGTAAAATTATGTTTTGCAGCTTGTGATATTGTAACTATTTTTTATCACTTATTATTTTTTGATTCAGTATTGCTTTTACTATTGGCCTAACGCCGCATCTCATTCCGGGAAAATAACTTTTTTCGTCAAAGTAACTTTAAATAAAATTATGCTTATAGGTTTTCGTTACATAATTGTATTACTTCAATCGCGCACACCTAATTAAACTGTGGGTTTAGTAGGTATGGTACTCTGCGGCTGTTGCCTGTTTCGTATAGTAATTATAATTACTATATAACACTTATAAGATTTGTGATATCGATTTATCGCTGTTGTGATTATATATTTAGTATGAAATAGTTTATCAATTCGATATTGCTTTTGGACAGATTCTCCAGCTGATTTGAAATATTTAAATTGTAGTCGAACGATCTAATTTCTGCCTTGTTAGTCTTTCTCTCTCTCTCTCTCTCTCTCTCTCTCTCTCTCTCTTTCTCTTTCTCTTTCTGTCTTAATGTATAAATATTTTTGTATGTTGTGTATAATATGTTTTTTCTCTCGTTTCAGGATATATGTGGACGTTGGTCTTCAGCACACTACAACACGGTTTCTCTTTAAACTCCATGTATCGTAAAATGAGCAAAGTCGAAAGTCCCATACTCCTAGTCATCCAAGACACGCAAAACAACGTGAGTGGCAGATTATGTTTTTTTTTTTTGTAAATCTAATTTCATTCACGTGACATCGCACATGTCGTATAATTGTCCACATTTTTTTTACCATAACCACTGTTACTGCAGGTGTTCGGAGCGTTGACGTCATGTGCGTTGAAGATGAGCGACCATTTCTATGGCACGGGCGAATCGCTGTTGTTCACATTCTGTCCCGACTTTCAGGTGTACAACTGGACCGGTGACAATATGTACTTTATAAAAGGCAACAACGAGAGCCTGTCGATCGGAGCAGGAGAGTGAGTATACAATATTTATTTGAAACTAATTGTATCTCTCCATATACAGATCCAGTGAAGCCGCAAATAGTACCTATTTTAAAAAATAATGTATCCTCCGTATAGGGATTTTCGGATGGTAGATGTAAATATCTGCTACTTTTTCTGTTTAGTTTAGGCTCCACTGTCTCTCTGTTTATCTGCCCTACGATATTTATGATTAATCGATTATTTTTTTTTTCACAGTGGCAAATTTGGTTTATGGCTCGATGGTGACTTGAACCAAGGCCGGACCGAAGCGTGCAACACATACGGCAACGAACCCTTAGTCAACGAACAAGATTTCGTTGTCAAGATCCTCGAGTGCTGGGCGTTCCTATAAACTAAAAAAAAACCAATTTTACGCGAACACATACATACACACACAAACACACACACATACAATTCACCATTCATTTTTTTCTGTTAGGGTGCTAAATTATAATAACTTCTCGTCAATCATTTGCGATGGCGAAAAAGCTATTTATTTATAATTTTCTACCACACCGAAACTCCATCATCTCTGTTCCCCACCTCTGTTGTACCTGTTTGTATATATATAAAACTTAAATACTAAAAGATCAATAGGAGAAAAATAACATAATACAATATTATTTAGCTCAATACTATATACGAAAAAGTAGTTACATAGTGTTATTATTATCGTTTTTTTTTTTAAATTTATATACCTATGTGTAATGAAAAATGTATAACATTGTAATAACATTTAGTGTCTAGTCTCAGCCGAGAGTTCTAAGAGTCGACTCTGTGTTGCCTGTCCATACCTGAAATCCTTGAAACAATCATATGCGGCAGCACTGATTATGTTTTTTTTTAAACCACTTGTTGTAATATCAAAGAAAAAAGAAAATTGTATCTCTTGTGTCCAGGGACCACTAGTCATCGCACGCGTGAGCACTTCATGCGCCTAAAACAATATTTTTTGAAAATCAATCCACCCCATCTCTGCAACCGTTAGACAATCACAAAAACTCAATTTTTCCCGCCCCGCCTTTATCATGTCTCTGAATCTCTCGATAAATTTTTTTTTTTTATTCGTTGTATTATTATTGTGTTGTGGCAACACTGATTTGGTAGTTGGGCTCTGTAGTCCTTAGATTATTAAATTTATTTAAACCATATTATATTACTATACGTGTACTACTAAAGTAAAGTAAAAATAATAAAAAAAAACTCGTAAAAGATATACACTAAATAAATATATCCATATAATATTAATAATTGTGATAAGTCTTGCATTGGCCTAATGTAGTATTATCGAGAAAAAAATTATGCTAGAGCGTCGTAAAAAAACTATTTTAGTTTAAGAAGATTTAGATTTTTAACTATAATATATATATATAAAAATAATTATAATATTATAAGAAAATTACTGTACCTCTAGCAAAGTCAATTTCGTAGTGATTAAGTGGAAAGCAATTAAAATGAATTTTGAGTGAGGAAGTGAATTAAAACAAAATACCTATGAAAAGTATATTATTATATTAGTGAAATGCATCGTAATTTATATTTGATAAATACCGGTAACTCGTAACTAATTTATTTATCGTTGTTTTTCATTGTAGATAAAATATATGTTAATTATTTTATTTCTTTTCCTTTACTGATAGCATTATTATTGTGTATTTATTATAATTTTATAAACGATTGCAGGCGAACCAGACGGTTGTACCTAATTATTGTTGCGCGTACCAGTTTTGAAAAAAAAAGCCTTAGAATGCGCTTTGTGTTTGTTCTTTTCTTTTAATTTCTTTTATTATTATATATTTTTTTTAAGTATTTTAGACGGTATTATTTATATATATAATTAAAAATTAAATTAAAAAACATTATATTATAATTGTTACTGTTGCGCAAGTGATTTATTTTGATTTTGACGTGAAAAATAAAGTTAATGTAACGTTGAAAAAAAAACCATGTTATTCTTACCTGTCTCCTGTCTTGCCCACTCCATCATACATCAATTATATTATTGTAACTCATTCGAATGCTTAACGTGTTTAATTTTATGAAGTTAACAGTCGATGTCGGCATTCATGCTACTTGAAGTACCTGTGTATATATGTACCTAAGCACCTATTGTAAACTATACTGTGCGACTTTTGTCGTTTATTTAAACTAACATTAGTAACCTTATTCCATGACCCATAATGTGTCGGGCTAGGCACTTGGCCAATATCGATACACGAGTTAACGAAAACATTCGATCGGATTATCGAAGCCGATCGTTCGGTAAAGCTCTGCAATATAGGTTGACACATTCAAAGTTGTTTACGTTGGAAGATACAGACAGGCACTACAAGTTACAACCCTCCCGCCATCTGTACATAGACATAATGAGCTGCAGCGCTGTCTGACCGGCCCAGTCTCCGGTTGCAAATATTGAACAGACTTGTCAACCGATTAACTATTCTTGATACAGTGACGTATTTACGGGGGGGGGGGAGATCTAGGTGATATATAACCCCCAAGAGCCTTTATTTTTTGGTTCGTTTCATTTTTCTTATTTTTCTTTCAAAACTGTTGTCGTAACTATGTAGTGTTGTTGATGGTGTTGGTAATATTGTTAATACTGGTGATATAATTATGAAATCCATGGATTATCTTTGGGGATATCTGTCTCCCTGATTCCTTAAATATGCGAAATAGTTCTGGCCATATCATCCCCTAGAAAAATATCCTAGATACGCCACCGTCTTGATGACACTAAACCTTTTTACATTTTTTTGTTTTAACCGACGACGCCGCGGAGTGATGATGACATTAAGCCTATATAAGCCTATAATAACGATAAATTATAATGGAATAATGCTTGTTGTACATACGCAACGAGACCAATAGTCTTGCTGATCCATGGCTGATCCACAAGCGACACGGATATATTGGGTTATTGGTACAATCCGTGCGGTTATTATCAAACAAATATGAAGTTATGTACCCAATAGAATCAAATAATGATTGGCCATAATAACAGCAACGGCAATGCGGGCCGAGGCCATGCTCGACAACCGGTACCAGTAAAAGATGATACCGGGCAACGTCGTGTGTGAGGATCAATCAAAGACGACAATGGGCGTGGCTCTGCTTAGTTAACGTTCACGGTTGGCTCTGAGCGGTGCTAGAGCGATGTTGTCATCACAATTGACAAGACCGTGTCTATAAATAAAAGGTGCGGATCACCAACTCGATTAGAACACATGCAGCTCAGCAAGTCTACGGAAGAACTAGGAGAATTTTCGGGGAACGAAAAAAACATCAACAGTTACAGGCCTACTGACCAAAAAATAAGAGCCTCCCGAACATTACCTATATGGCTCATTGCATAAGTACCTAAAATATGCGAAATTGCAGACACAGTTAAGATTTGAGGATATGTGACATTGTATTATTTGTGTATAATAGTGCCAACTCATTTTTGTAGGTTCTATATTATATTATAGTTATGCAACTATTTATGTCAGTTCTGATAACTTATCTGATAGTTATGTTTGTCTCGAATCCCGAATCATCGCTGGCCAGGATTCGATTGACCATGTTACAATTGAATTTTATTATAAATCACTAAAAGTCCACGTACATTAGTATTTAGTGTGCGTATGTGCAATGCGCTGAGTAAATTTTTTTAAAATTAGAATGCCTGCAGCTATGGCGTTTCAAAATATAAACAATAATATATTGTACAATAATTACAAAATATGTAAGGAATATAGTTGTATATAATACAAAGTTAAATATAGAAAGAACAGAGAAAAAAAATACATATTATATAAGAATGTAAATAGTTTTAAGATTCCTAAATAAAAATAATAAAAGTAGCAATAAGTAGATAAATACAATGGGTGCGAAGATAGCATTTTTTTCAGATTAGTTGGGCTCATTGTAATTTGAAACACAAAAATAATCTATTATATAGAATACTTAAATTAAATTTTTTCTGAGTTACTATAGACATTGTCAACTGATATCAAAATTACTAAATATTTTATATCTATAATTTCAATAATTAGATAACCAACATTTTATATATTCCTTAAATCCTACCCTATTCTTGTAACTAGTGTATAGATGGTCTATGTGACTATATAATACATGACTGTGGCTCGGCTATATGTGTCAATCCCATCAATTAAATCATCTATAGAAGGTACGACGCCATTCGCTCCGAAGAAGTGGCTCCTGAGTCAAACAGCCGTCCAAAGAACGTCGGTACATGGTGTTGAGAAGTCTCCTTCGAACCGGTCATCCGTGTAAGAAGTGCACCTTCGAACTGGATTTCCGCTTGGCCGCCATATTATCGCCGACGACCACCGGTTTCTGTACACAGTGTTGGAAATGCGGATTATGTTGGACTTTGCGGCAGCAGATAGTTCACCCAACAGGTGAGCTGAATGTGAATTAGGTACACCGACCCATTGCAAAGTATGCCAGCCTGGCGAAACGCATGATCCGTGGATGAGTGCAACGACCAACGAAAAATATGTGTATTTTCTTCGCGCAAAAATGAACAGACTAGATTTTGACAAAATAGTTAAGTTAAATTAATATGCTTATACGTATACAATCTACAAACATAATATTATAACCAGGGCATGAATAAAACTCATTATATATCAATATTTTTTAATGCACTGCTTGTCTGGAAGTATGCATTTAATAGTTTTCTATTTTCTTCGGTTGTCTTTCATTTGTCGTCCTACATAGCATTACGATCAGTTTGTTTCCCCGATATGCATAGAAAACAAAACTTAATGACGTTCACGTGGGATAAGTTATATGGTCGATTGGTCGAACCGCATCGAAGCGGCTTTGCAGCTACTAGCGGATGCCGCGGGTGGTATCTTAAAGGGTGTGTAAGTGGAAACTACCGTCGTTCGTCAATGTCGGAGCCCACTCGCGATGTGTACGGTTGACGAATTCGTGGAACTGAATGTCGGTTGAACACCATATTATAAATGATAGAACATGAAATCCAGTACTTGGAACTCACGAGCCACATCACGCTCTACGGTCACGGTTCGAAGTACGTTGCTAAAAGTGGCCGAATGAAAAAGTGTAGCTAAAATAAGGTACATAAAATACACGCTATTCGTCGCTCCGGACCAGTGACGACAGTAAAATATGTGTCAGAATAATTCCCGCACAGCCAGTTTGAAAATTGAAAATGGTTTATCAAGTTATAATATTATTAGTAGTATCTGCGTATCAATTTTGAATGTAAAAACTTAACCATGTATGGTGAGAATGTGGGATTCTCCAGGTGTACCTACCTAGTGAATGAGACTTGTCATCAAACTAATTTTAAATTCCATCGCAGCCCAGGATTCAGAAGTGTTAGAGCAGAGGCACAAATAAAAACATTTTCGTGTATTGAATAATGGGTGATCACCTATTATTAAATACTAAAATGTTAATTTAAAAAATATTATTTTAACGAGTACGAGTCACGATGTTTACTTATAGTCCAATAATTTTTTCATGAGATTAAATACGCAAAAACATCAATAAAAATACTATACCAAAATCTTCTTCTCGCACAGTCACGCCCCTAGGGGTCCATGGACCACCAGATGAAAACTCTCTTCTTTTTTTTCTTTTCGACTCTCGGCGAAACCTGCACTTTGCCATAAGTGTAATAGGTACTGTGGTAAAATTTTGGTGCAGACTGGAGCTAAAAACCGAACTTAAATGACGTTCTACTGTTGATTTTGATTCTTTGCCATCTTATACGCATTAAGATAATATTAATCTATAAAAATAATAAAATATAATATAATACCTGTTAATCTTTGCCGGACGGCGTTACATATAAACTACTAAATGTACACAACAGACGTCATCTGAAGATTTTTCCAGCATCTCAATTCAGTAGATAATTTGCTTTGGAAAACAAAAATTATAAAACTAAACACTTACAAGACGAAATTCAGTACACCGAGTTGTGGTATATCAGCAAGGATATAATATCTTCATTTGTTTTTTAATTAATTGAAGTCAGAACACACAGCATCCTCCACTGCACAATAGGAACCGTGATCGTTAACTTATTGTAGGCAGAAAAGTATTGTACCTGTGATGTTTTTAACTAAAATTGTATATTATGTTATGTGATAATAGTACCGCAAATTAAGTAAATCCAATAATCGGTTATACCTGTCTAATAAAAAATATGCACTTACCAAGTCAAGCCATCAAGTGCGGGATCTCATTACAATTATCGAAACCTTATTATACTGCCGAGACGGAAATAAAGATGCAAAACAGAAGGACCAGTGATATGAGAACCTGCCTCCTGGAAATTATCTAGCGTTTGGACTTTGCAGAAACGAGATTTTAGGTTAATCGTTTTGGATCTTTTGCAGCAGATAACAAGGAAAACTTTGTGAGCTGGAAGATCAGAAATAATAGACAGAAGAGTGCGGTTGCAGAGACATGCAAGACATCGCACTAGGGCAGATAAATATATGAATATGCAGTGCAGCATGACGGATATGAAATGTGAGAGGTCTGCTGGGAACTCAATGACGATTGCATTAAACTGGCTACTGGTATTATTAAGAAAGAAATCTGACACGGCTGGCTGACTCAAAGACGAAGAAGAAGAAGAAGAAGAAATGATGAGACTTCGTGGAAATCTATAATTTCTACACCATTTTTACAATACGCACGTGATTGGAGGGTGTGCAGCATCTCACGACGTCTCAAAACTTGAACATCCCCAAGTGTTACGATGCAATAATAGCCAATAGGGCGGTACGTACTTACGAATGAGTGACATATAATATTAGTGACCAATGGAAGTATTTAATTCGACGCGTTCAGTTTGTGTAGGTAATAATCGAAGATTTTTATTTCTTTCATTAATTTCTAAACATAACGCAATACAATATACTTATAGGAAGAATGTGTTTACAAAATACGTCGTAATACGAACGTTTACAGCTGCACATCTTAAAACAATATAATAATATAATAAACACGATACATATTTTTTTGCAGGTATATACGAAACGCGCGTCTCTTGGAACGAGAAAGGTAAAATACTATTTGAAAATCTAATCCGCACAACGTCATCACGATTAATTCGCGACCTCGTGTTACAATTATTATTATTATGATAAATGATAACTTCCACATTGTTTCGTGCGGTTCGGGAGAGAAACAGCCTCGTCCCTCGGGATTTTGCGGCCCTCCGCAATACATTCGCCGACTTCCGCAATGCGCGGACGACGTAAAATATTTGTGTTTCCTGTTCCGCAGCAGTCCTTCTCGACCTCTGCAGACGGCGTCGTTGAATACATCGTGCAGCCGGCATGGTCTACGCTCAAATCGCACAATTATCATGTGCCCGGGTATATATAATAGTACAATATAAGTACGACCACATCGATTATAAACAACACTAGGTATAGTCTTCACGATCGATTGTTATTATCGTGGTACAACAACCCGACGTCTGAGACGACATCATCGCGAAGCCTGGGTCTCGAGTCGTCGCTCGATCGCATGTTTAACCGCGGTACAGGCACACACCACAATAATAAAATTATGTTTTTGCGTTCCGTTTAACACGCTTGTATGACGTGTGGGTGCGTGTGGCTACAAACGATCTGCACGTGTATGTACGTATTTAGTAATAATATATATGCAGCGAGTCCTCGGCGGTGCACACGTATCGCATATATATATATATATATATTATAAATAATGTGAAATAGGTATGATATCCACGTCGGTGTCGGCGGCGTCGGTGAGTCGCCTCTACTGGTACGATATGATATAGTGACTAGAAACGACATTATTCGAAAGCTATCGTCGTCTATATATTATGTTAACAATACAATACTGTGTATACGCCGCAGCAGTCTGAAATCAATATTACATGAAATCAATAACTATATAGTTTATTAAGACGTCGGCCGTCTATTATAGTTGGTATCCATTAATCACCACAATGTAATTAAGTATACTATAGTCATTAACGAACGTGATATTATGTCTATGACGGGTTTGGGGAAATTATAACTGATTTTTACGTTTGGGTACGATCGTTTCTGCCTTCCGGATTTACTCGATTAACACTAAAATATATTTGACTTATTCACAATTCATAACACTACTGCAGTTATACTACAAAACGACGTGACGCATTTGGCACGTCTAGATTAGTATACCGCGGAGAGCAGTGGTGTTCAAACTGTGGTACGCGTACCACTGCAGGTATTCTGCACTGTAAAATAGAGGTTCCCAAACTGTGTAACACAAATACCAATAGGACCTTTACTATAGTATTTCGGTACATTATTTTCCGCGAAACTATTTTGTGCAGCTTACATTGCTGTTCGAATATTTAGGTTTATCATTGATCATTATCCTCAAAAATTACAATTCACAAGACGTGTACCAGTGACCAGTGCCACTCCACGACGCTGCCAAACTAAAAGTTGTCGCGATCAACAATGAAACAAATAAAAAAGTTAATTTGGTATGTTGTGATCTGGTCATCAAAACTCAAACATTTTCCAAAGAGGTTCGTATCGTAAAAAGTTTGGGAACCTCTGCAGCTGTAGAGGATCGGTAGGTATATTTAGCGTGTACATGGTTTGGCCATTGAAGGTGCGATGGTGACACTGTGCCACAGCGACACTGGTTGGAGGATTGATGAAATCAAAACGGACGTAAGTAACTTTGTTCTGAGTTCACACATGTAATAACTCGTGTGATTTGTAGGTACCTATATAGCAGGGGCGGCCAACATTGTTTTGGTCACGATCTACTAAAAATATACTTCACCTTTGAGGATCGACTTTCATAGAAAAGTTTCCGAAAATAAAACGTTTTTTGTTTCTTATGTGCACTCATACTTATAAATGTTTAAAGAACTTAAATACGTTAATATAAATTTAATACAACAGACCCCGAATGAACGCAGTGAAATGGACATGAGTGAAGAATAAACATTTGACACACGAAACAAGAATAAAAGACTAACATGATCGACTTTGAAATTGTCCACGATCGACCATTCGGTCGCCCCTGCTACATAGGATGTAACAGAAACCTAAGACAAATGAAATAACTTGTGTTCTAATCGATATTTTTTAGTTTTTTTTTTTTAATATAATTTATAGATAATGATACGCAATTAACACGTCGAGTATACAAGTTTCTATTAATTTTATGAAAATAAAAGTGATAAAATATTGATTAGGTGCACAGGTTATTATTTGATTTGTCTTGTCTTTCTGCAGTGTTGCACCTTGTATACATAACTTATACAATCACAGCCACTGGTCGACTATTTAAGTTTACATTAACCCGGACGCCACTGACGTTTGCTAAAATCGTAATATACATACACACAACACACGCACATACACAAACAATTATATATACATACCGTCGATTTTCAAAACAACATGTTCTGAAACCATCTCCAAGGGCTCGTTTTGCAGAGGGCCTTCTGGGTGGGGCACCCGAAACGTCTCAAGCACATTGCCAGCTTTTGGTCACACTCGCACAACCGCTGGCTGCATCCACCTCCCAGTGCTGTTCGAGTGACAACAGTAATAAGACAGAAGATGTTATGTATCATGGTTGTGCAACAGGTAAATTTAATTGGATGGAACGCGTTCAATTCCTCGTTCCTCTAAAATAGTATCTGGTTCCCCGCCTCAGTTTACATTAGTATTTTTAAAATTATTTTATTTTACATCCTAAAGAAACGAAATTTTTTTCCCCAAATGCATTTTAAAACATTTTCGATAAGAACAAAAGAATTATAATATTGACGTTCCCATTCCTTAAAAACATAATGGAATTAATTCCTTCATTCGTTCCTCTAAAAAGGAATCGATTTCGGGCTTGGCCGTGGTCCATCCACATCTCATCAATATCTACGGATGTGCCAGGATGTAAGGTTACGGAGGTATAACCCCTGTACAATAGGTCATACGTACGAAATCATAACCTGCGCGTGATAAGACCATACCTTTGTACTCAACGCGTTGGGTATAAATCGAAGAAATGTCGAAAAAATAGCGCAGAGAAAAAAAGATTAAACGAATAACGGAACGATCTGTGTAAGACGGGTAAGCCGATTTCCGAGCTTGACGTCGACTTTGGCAGTGTAGGTAGGTACCTCTGTACGTATTATAATATATACCGCAAAAACGTTGTTTTTTTTTACGTTTAAATTGCATTCGATGTGCTCCGGGTTGAATAACTATTAAGCTCATTATTGCTTTTATTTTACTCGAGAACCTACGTAGGTAGGTACCATAATAATAATAATAATAATAATACGTACCTACAATAAGAATAGAGGTGGTACATAGTGTTGGGTTCAGCGCGTTCGGTTTTTATTTCGGAACAAACGGGACGAGTGTACACTATAATGCACAGGTTAGGACCAAGGATAGGTCGGGTTATTGTATCATATTTTTTATAGTGAAAATAATGATCACTTTGAATTATTGTCGTGTTCGACGTTGCTGTAATTTTTCGTGCACTTTTCTACGGGACAACGAACTTTGTTCGTTGCGGCATAGCTTATATTATTATTATTATTATTATTATCCTTTTGTTGCATAATCTGCACAGTTATATTTTATGATATACCGGATGATCCATTTCACGCAAGACACTCATCATTTCAAAAAAAAAAACTATAACACTGCAGGTGTTTGAAAAAAATTTTCTCACTGTTTCAAGCCGTCGAAAAATTCGCGTTTTTACAAAAAATGTATGTTTTTTTACGTTTTTCAACGACGACATACATTTTTAATTCCTTATTCCAACGAAGAATATTTTTTTGGACTTCTTCGCGGCACATTAAATTACAATCCCGACTAAGCTTTCAAAACACTTATAGATAACGAACTGTTTGTTGGAAATTTATTTTTTACACATCGAAATAGAAACTCCAAATTATATTCTGCTTCGGAATATGAAATCACATAAATGTACTTTTTCGTTCAAAAGAGTAGACAACTTTAAGAATGATAACGATAAAAATAGTAGAAAAATATCATTTATTTCTAATGTCCCAATCTATATATTATGTTGTTTTGCAATTAGGCGTACTTAAAATCACGTAAAAGAAATATTTTCGAAAACCTAAGTATTTTCTGTAATAATAAGTGTCTTATCCATCACCCCGTATACATATTATACAATATTGCTGAGAAGTGGTAATATCTAATTATTATAATAGCTGGTAAACATAGTACATAGATAATATTGTATTGTTTGGTGAACGTATTTTATTTTTCACCGTTTCTCCTTTTTAATACTCAATTTTGCAAAATAAATTTTTATTATCAACTGGCAGCTTACTTATAGGTATAGATTATACTTTCTCTGTTTTTCCTACTGTTTTTGTGTAATAAGTATTTTTAATTTTATTCAATAATATATAAATATATTTTTATCATTATTACTCTTTTTACAGCTTCACTACACTAAGGTTATTACCTTAATTACTCTCGTTCCCTTTCAAATCGCTCAGATCTTTCGCCTTTTGTATACGATAATATCATAGACAATAATGTATCTATATTCGCATTTCAAATCCCAATTAAACTGAATATCATTTTTACCAACTTAATGGATTGAATGGATCATTATACTCATTCTCCAATTTATTAGATTTATTATTGGGTAAACAGCGTAAAATATTATGGTACCAACGTTATTATACGACTTTATGTGATTTACATTGACAAGGGGGGAGGGGGGATTTATTATAAATTAAACTACATTTTTACAGTCCCCCCCCCCCCAGGCTACTCCACAAATAATGATGCCTATGTGTTTTGATACTTTGAAATTGATGAATAGAAGTGAAGAAAATTTTTATATCCAAGTTTTTTCAATTTTTATATAATAATTGTATTCATTTTAAACTAATTATTTTCTTTTTCTTTCTCTTGCAGACCGAAATTTCGCTCTGACGGCGCCTACTGACCTTTGTATACTAATAAAATATGATATAAAGCGTTATATACAAATTACGATCATTATTCGAGGAGTAAATGCCGCTAATGAATTCTATAGCCACGAAAATGGTTTTAATTTTTCTTTTGCAAATGCCTGTAATAGGCGCGAGTTGTGATATTACAAGTTAATATAGTTGTGTATGGTTAGTTTCGTGCTGTTTAAATGAGATTTTGTTACGTTGCGAAGGCTCGGGTCTTGATTTATTATTATCCTACCGTGTAATATAATATAATATTTATCTTTATTATCGGATATGGCCAACTATATATTATATAATAAACAGTTTATTAGAAAAATGACTTTATTATTGTTAACCCTTTCCCGTGGTATATATGAACACTCCGCGGCCTATAATAATATATTTGATCGTTGCAGTACACAATAATAATATGATAATAATATGTGCTCGTAGGTGGTTTGAAAAATATGCTCTTATCGCAATGCCGCAAACACGACTTCTATTGAAGGGTAAGTGTACAATCGTAAAAGTCGCCGTTTTATTCGTGTAACGGTATTGTTTTAAATCCACTGGTTGTATACGATCGCGCGTCTTTACACGCATTTCGGTCTCCGACCGTATAATTATTTTGTTATTATTATTATTATTACGACAATAAGCACCCACGATGGCGTTTGTTTTCTTTTCAAAATTTTAATTCGTTAATGATGTACTTACAACACAATGGTTTTTTGTTGTAGCACGTCCAGACGTACGGCGTAAAGTATTCGAGGAACATTGGACAATCGGCGCTGTCGTAGCACCAATCGTGCATTTTGCAGCAGCTGAAAATCGTCCGGAAAGAACAAAGCAAAAAACCAAATAAGAGTTCGTTCGTCGTTTGAACACAGACACTGGCATATATTGTATTGTGTTTATATTAACTTGTCTATGGGATCAACAGGCGATCCGGAACCCAGGAACCCGCAGTAACAGCCGTAGCCGAGATAAGAAATCGGATTGCATCCGGTGGCGCACACGACCATGTTGTACAGCTGATACACACTCCTTTTGGGTCTGAAAAAAAATACAAGCACTTAGGTACGTGACACGTTGAGAACAAACATATGAGAACACCGAGCTGACCTTCTAAATAAATCTATTATCTATGTAACTGTAGGTAATTAGAGCAAGGACTCTCGTGTGCAGAATTTGCATATTATATATATATATGTTCGCTGACTGATTGTCTTGTGTAATAAGAGCTTATCAGCGGTACGCACAAAATATTATGTTTCACGTCGTTTTCACTGCGCTTAGTTAATGTATGTATTATACGTGTCATGATGTCACGAATTCACGATGATTGTTTTATCATGAAACCAACAATATCTTATAATATTAAGCACTGATAATATTATTATTTGGATTATAAAAAGTAAGATAAATTTGAGATATTTATTGTGATATCAACTATTAATGTACCTATGCGTGTATGTTATTATGGTTATTGAGCTTAAAAGACATTGACTGATTTGTCATAAATAAATAAAATCATTCTAAATACATAATATAGTATATTATAATACAGAGGATGATTCACCCGGAATGCTCAATCCTTTTTTTCTTTGACAGTGCAGTTATTTAAAATCTGATTTTAAGAAATTTCAAATAAACTTAAAGATAATATTTTCAAATCCTTGAGATTTTATTGTACTTAAGGAGTGTTCTGTGGCGATACAAACTTCAGTTTTTCAAATAAGAACCCCCATTCTCTAGGAGATGAATCTCCAAAATTCGAATAAGTAGTTACTCAATTGTTAAAATGGTTATAATGCGGAAAATAATTCTTAAAACTGGTTAAAAAAATTTATAATATTTGATCTAGTTTATTTATTATACTTGGACTAATCTTACAAATTATAAATATTGATAAACTAACATTAATTACTAAAATATTCAAATTACCATAGTCCCCATATCTTCCTAACTCATTATCAAGGGAACTCATTATAATTCCTCGAATTTTAATTTTGATACTTCAATACGTCCAGGAAAAATATCCATTAAATTATTTACAGTACACAGCGGGATTCTTATTTTAAAAACAGAAATCTGTAAGACCAAAACAAAAAAACTCTTAAGTTGTACAAAAAAATCTCAAGAATTGAAAGGGGGAAATATGGTCTTTGAGTTTATTTAAAAATACCAAAAATCACATTTTGAATAACTGCACTTTGCAGAAGAAATGGGGTTTTAAGAAAAAGGGAGTGAGCAATGATCATAGCTTGTGAACCATCCTATAAACGTAATATATATATATTACAAACACACCATTTAATCCTTTTCTTCCTCATACCTGTTTTGGTTTTTACCGCCAGATTGGCCCGTCTCCAACAAAGCCGAAGGCCCCCACGGGTTGTTCGTGTAGCTGACGTAGATTTCTATGGGCACTGATGTGCCATTTTTGTGGTATATTTTTCGAGCCAAAGTGTTAATGTCTGTAAAAAAAAAAAAACAACCCCTATGATAATAATATTATTATATATATATAGGTAACACGGCTATCGTGTTCTTGTATACACTTGTGTGTGTGTGTGTGTGTGTGTGTGTACGTGTCCATACAATCGCCGAGAAAAATTCAGTAAGTTAAGCGTTTTACGATTAATTGTGAAAGTTGTTGATGGGATAGAGGAGGAAGCAAGTCTGAAGATCCGATTGATTGATTGATTGATGGTGATGTGTGTGGATATAATTTTCCGGTGACATATGCGGGCAACGATGAAGGTACTCGAAAAATCGGAAGCCCTCAAAAGAGCAAACTAAAAGGTTTTTTTTTTTAAGTCTCGATTTAAGAGCGAACCCGGTTCGAGCTTTATTCCATGGTATTATTTATAAAAATATTGTATATTATAATACGACAACGGCCGACGGTTAAAAAACGATCCCGTATAAGCTTATTGTATTTTAAAAAATAAATAATAATCCTAACTATACAGACGGTTTTAACTTCAACTTCAACTGTATTTATGGTAGGACAAGATTATATGGGCACCTTAATTTTAAACCAATTTTTCAACATAGATATGTTGTTGGGATGGGTAGGCACAATATTTTTTTCATCCGATTTTCGTAACACGTTGTTTATCACCACAGAAACGCAAATCAGCAATAAAAACAAAACAAAAAACACCACATGAAACCTATTTTTTTGATGACATCGTGCATTTTTTGATTCCTTATTACCGAGCAAAATTTTTTTTTTTGAAATACTCCAGTGCATAAAAGTCAGACTTTGGACGAGCAGTAATAAGTGCTCGGCTAAACTTTAAAAACATATAACTAATAAACTACTTTTCTGAAACATGATTTTAAAAAGATTAAAACACTTAAAAAATTATATCGATAAAAATATTAAAAAATATACATTTTTTCCATAAACGTTGTATTATAATGACTTAACATTACTTTGATTACGTCAAGTTAAATATTTTCAAGAACTCAAGGGTTTTCTGAAATAATGTGTGTTTTACGTCGAATGGATCACCCCGTTTATAGGTCTGTGTATATTTAATCACAATACAATGACTGTAAATTGTAAAAATACTATAATACCTAGTCCCATGTATTGCATCTATGCGTTGTAGACGATGTTGGAGACGAATGCAACAGACGATCCTTTGACACGATCACGAATATATTTACCTCAGAATATTATTCAAATAAATGCTAGCTGATCTCGTGAGCTTCGTTGCCCGTGAAAAATGGCAACTATATATGCGAGACTCACTAATTGTGATAATTTCGAGCAGTATATTATTATCAGCTAGGCAAATCCAGCTGTGGTGGATCGCGGACCCTGTTAGATGCGTACTTTTTTAAAATTATTATTTGAATTAAGCCTCGGCAACTGTGGTATTTAATGTGCATAGATCTCATACTCCATACTGAGTATAAGGTCTTTTTTTCTTTGCTATCGAGACCTGGGGAGGAACTGGTGTTGGTTTGCATTGCTTCTCCCCCGGTCCTCATCGTTTATTGTGCAAAAAAAAAATAATAGTTTTACAGTAATAGGCGTCCTGGCACGCTCCCTTCTGCGCTACCAAGTGGGCGCTCCCTATCGGTAAGTACGAGTCCACCCGGGAGCAGAGATCGGCGGGTTAACATTGAAAAAAGACTGAGTATAAGGTCTATGATAATATGTCTAATTTCTGTTTTAATTGAAGACACGCCGATGAGCGGCTATGATAGTGTAACTCAGCCACCTCGGCAGACGAAAATTCAATTCAATCCCATATGCTTGTACCTCATCTGCCCGATTAACAACCACTGGCAACCAAAAAAAAAAAAAAGTACCAATTTCTACTAAATTTATTAATACTTATCCTATGACCAATAGCAATAGTCTTTAAACAGAAATTTCCTTCGTATAAATCTCAAAATCTCTGCTCGAGCAACTCCCCGCCTACCTATATGTACCGAGTCCAATTGTAAATCTAAATCATTCGGGGAACCCCCCCCCCCCCCCCCCAAACACACCCAAAAAAATGTCACCAAAATCTGTCCGGCCGTTTGGACAGGCGTAAAGACAGACAGACATTCGTGTATATATATTTATAGAATACATGCAACATGTTCAACCGATAATAGTATAGACAATAGACACTATATCCTTTGTTGTTTATTATATTATACCTACTTTACAGGGAAAGTGATATTATCAGCTTTTATTGATGACGGACGAGCAACCGTGTAAAATTTAATTCGATTGTAAAACAAACGAGTGTAATTTAATAATATTTTGTAGTCGTATATCTGTCTCCGATATTAACGTCTAATCGTAATCCTTAAAACTTAACAGTCTTGTCCAGAGCAATCCATTTATAGTTTTATCTCATTCATAAAAGTTCACGTCATTTCTTATATAGATTTTTATCCAACAACTATTTTTAATTTTTTTTTATCATCAACACAAACGTTTAATTATTAACACTTGCGTATAACTTACACCTATAATAACAATACTATATACTTATCTTATTGGTACTCGACTAAAAATATACGCCAGTGAATTGTGTAGAATAATAATTGTAGATTATGCTTATCCGACAATTATCACCCATTTCAGATTTCTATTTCCACTTTCGGAACAATCGAAATTATTGTTAATTTCACTGTGCCAAAACGACGGAGAAAAAAATATATCAACTTGGATGTATTGTTTACAAGTATAAAATAGTTTTTTACTTTCTTGTATTCAGTCTTCGCAGGTAATAGTCTGCTATTTCGACCCGCGAACGACGACAATGCCTTCAATTTCTTTTCAGCGAGGCGTGTATATTATCCCCATATAGTGGCCTGTACAATTGTATACAGACATGATATTGTGTTAGATTTATTTTTTCGTCGTTTTTCCAAATTTTTTCCCCTTCCCGAGAAATTTACTACAAAATTAAGAACATACAAAACTAAATCGAACAGAAGGCCGCCGGTCCCAACCTCGATCAATTAAACATTGGGAAGTACGCTTTGACTCACAAAACGATTGAAGGGTACACCGTCTCCCCCCCCCCCCCAACCAACCAACCAAGATCAAGCAGGACTGCTGCTGATATGTATACGACTATACCTACGCGAGAAAACATGCGAAAATAGATACGTAGATCCGTCACACTGACCATATTATAATACCTATATATTATTGTTGTTATAATAATATGGTGTCGAGTCCGTTTCGGTGCAGCAAACGGAATTTTCTGACAGTTATCATACCACATATATATATATATATATATATATATATANATAGTTCAATATTCAGTTCTTTAAATAACCATAGCATAGATAGCAATAGTTCATTATCTGACCACTTAACACATATAATTAAATCAATATCATCAACATACATGAGCTTGAAAATAAAATATTCTATTAAATCCCATAATAAAACACCCTCTTTTCGTATGTGGTACAATTTTTTTTTTTTTTTTTTTTTTTTATAAAAAAAAAAAAAAAAAAAAAAAAATACAAATAAATAAAGGAAAAAAAAATAACGGTAGAGGTAATCGGTGACCTTACATGTACACGCACAAATCGATTACACAACACATACCCATAGTTCGTATATATTATGTATATTGGTTAGTGCAGGCTACCACGTTATAATGTGTATATATATATATATATACCATGTAGGAACGAGCGTATTAAGCGTAGATATTTCGACGTGTAAATCGAAATTTGAACGAGTAATTATTATTATATTTTAAGTCAAGATGACTGGATTGGAGTGGAACGCACGGGGATATAGGTACCTACCCCCGCAAAATGTTCGCCCACTCATCAACACGACTTTATACATTTTTACAAAATATAGGTAGGTAAAATATATCAAAAAATAAGATTTGTATTCATCGAAATCATCTGAAAATAAATTTCTGCTTCGAAATAAGAAATTCAATATGTAAGTTGTCATTCGAAAAAGTATTATTAATTAGTCATAAAAGTAAATTTTTTTTAAAAGTGCTGCTTTGAACCACTAAAAAAATTTTTTTTTTAAAACGTTAATAGTTTTTGATGTAGGTAATAAGGGTTTTTCGAAATATAATAACTTTTTATTTTTATTTAGCGGTAATACGACTGTATCTATTGGTTAGTGATAAAAATGTAAATTCAATTTCTAAATCATTATTCATTACTAAATTGCGACTTGCGAGACTATGACCGATACCAGACAATTTCAGTTATATGTAGCAACAAAATAAAATGTAATAAAACGAAAATATCGTTGATTATAATTATAATTATTTCGACAATAAAATAAACGCGATCTCCGTGGCTTCATATATAAGAAGACAAACATAAAATATATTTTTTTCGAGACATAAATTTAAAAATAAAATATATTTTGCTTTATATAGTTAAAACACACCTGCAGTCGCCTATGTATAATTAAAATATCATTATTGCTCTTTATTAAATTTCAAAATAACTTTTATTACATCTTCGAATTTAAACCAAGTGCACGGGAAATGAAATTAAAAAAAAATCTACAAGTGGAAATCAAATAAATAAAATAGGTGGGCCAGTGGGTTCTGCTCTGTTGTACAGTAGGTGGGTGTCTAGTGAGTAGTGGGTCACTGTTATAAAGTGTTAATTATAAAATCATTGTACACGAAAGAACGAATCTGAGCGACGACATACTGTCAGCCAATATTACTAAGTATATCTAAGTATATTTTATAATATTATATTGCTATTAAACTATTAAAGTAATTTATTTGACCTATGCAATTAGTAATACGCAGTAGATTGAATTTATTTTTGCCCAAAACATTAAAATCGAACATGTCACTGTGCGTAAAAAGCACTATAATATTACTTTACGATAGTTTCAAGTACCCACGAATAGTATTTTTAAATTACAACAAAATCCCTAAAATTGTTATTTTTCGTTCAAATACCTATATAATTTCGTTGAAATTTGAACTTATAATATATC